AACTCCCAGCTGAAGAAATTACTTCTAGAAGGGCTGGAATACATTCTTAAACAGAAAGTATTTTTTTTCCCCTTCAGAGGGGTGGAACCAGGAAAGAGTTGCTTGATGATGTTGGTCTGAGCACCAGCATCATAGGGTGTCTACAGTGTAGGGAGCTTTAACTGAAAATAGGAAAAAAAAAATTCTCCTCTAAACCCTAGGTTTATAATACTCAGTTTCATGCTGTGCATGTAGCAGAAAGTTTGTACACTCAAGCCATTGTAGAGTTTCTTTGGGAATGTCAAGTACAAACCTTTACTTGTGGTTGTCATCTGGCCTGATTCAGGGTGTATTCAAAATGTTTCCACTAATTTTTATTTCCCTCAGGAGGCATCCAAGGTTAGTAAGACCATAGAAATCTATGTATGAAAGAAAAGAAATGAGCATGTGGTTGGTGGCACTTTCTTTATAAATTCAATAACCAAGACTCTTTTTTTAGGACACAGAAATTTTTGTCCCTTCTCACACCTAAGGGCTGTGCTTTCTTCTACCAGTTCACTTGAAGAGCTGGGATATTTCCATCCCCCATCAGTTACTGCTCTAGTGTTCTTGTTCAAGTACAATTTCCAGTGAAATAGTAGCTTATAAGTATCTAGAAGTTAGTTTATTGACTCTTATTGCACTTCTGAGCACCTAATAAATAATTTATTAGTCTGATGGATATGTGGCTACCTAACTATGGGGCATGAAATATGCACTGTTTTTCTAATACACTGTAGGGAGACCTGTTTATAAAGTATTTAGTATTGGTTTTATAATGCACCGTTGACAACAGGAGACCACGGAGCTCAAAGATCAATCTCATTTTGGCCTACGGTATTAATGCTGCTTTCTAAAGCCCTATGACAGGTCACTTAGACAGTGGTCCTCACATAAGGGACTCGGTTAGCAAGATAGCCTGCAGTAGCTGCCAGCACAGTGGATGGATGTCTTTGTCCAAGTCCCTGAGGTGACTGTTTGGCGGTTGCTGATGTTGGCCAGGTGATGGAACTCATTATTTCCCTGTTCTCCAGAGGGATTCTGGACTGAGAATGCCCAGTTCTGCTAATGTACCCCTCACTAATGGTACAGAGAGTTGGTGTGACTTTGGACCACAATTGCAGTTCTGGAGACACCAATCAGGAAGTAAGGAGTGGGGCTTAGCTTTCCTTAGCTCTCTCTCATGTTTGTTAATGAAGTGACATTCTTCCATATCTCCTGTTCCTTCGTTCAAATTACATATGTGACATAGCATAAAGTTTTCTGATTTTTTTTCCTTTGGGGGATTTCATTACCCCTGAATGCATTTATAGACATTTAAAAAACGCTACATAGTAAGCACTTAGAATTGGGGAACATCTAAATAAAGATTAAATAATTTCATCTAAAAACCAATTCTCAGCGTTTTAGTTTGTTTATAAGAATTATACAAAGTGTTGCAGGTTCGATTCCCAGTCAGGGCACATGCCTGGGTTGCAGGCCACGGTCCCCAGCAACTGCACATTGATGTTTCTCTATCTTTCTCTTTCTCCCTCCCTTTCCTCTCTAAAAAATAAATAAATAAAATCTTAAAAAAAAAGAATTATATACTATAGGAATGCCTTATAAAGGCAATGATTTACATATACCCCATTAAGGTATATGTTTTGGAGCAGCAAGGCTTTTTATCAATTTTGCATTAGGGACTTTTTGGTGTTCTAAGTATTCTGCTTCCCAAAGTGAGAAATCTGAACTGCACTTCCACTTTTTCAACTTTTTTTATTTTTTATTTTTTATTTTTATTGATGAGAGATAGTGACACATCGATTTATAGTTCCACTTATTTATGCATTCATTGGTTGATTCTTGTATGTACCCTGACTGGGGATTGATCTCGCAACCTTGGTGTATCAGGACAATGCTCTAACCAACTGAATTACCCAGCCAGGCTGAATTGCACTTTCTTGAACCCAGTCTTTTTGCTTGTAATTTCTCACCATTTGGGGGGAACCAAGGTTGAGTTCTTTCTGCTGTTTGCCATGTCCTACTCATTTCCTATTATTCAGAGTTTCATTCAACTCTCTCCAGTTGGACCAGACCCTTTCTACTCTTCAGTAGTCCTTGATTTCATCCTGCCATTGCTTCTCTTAGCAAGTGACCTCATCTTTTCTGAGATGATCATTTCTTCTGTGCAGCTATCATTTGTTGAGCATTTATTATCTATTAAATACTATTCAGTTAGACCCTGGATTACCAAAATGGATAAAACTCTGTTCCTTTCAACAAGTGTGCAGTTTAGTGGGAGAAATGGGCAGTAAACTGGCTTTCTGACATGAGCACTCTCAATATGCATATCTATTATTTTTGGCTTCTGAGAAAAAATATTTTTCTTTTTCCTTCAGGGGTACCCTTTTTATTTGTGCTCTTGATCACATTCTCTCCTAGCACCCTTTTAAATCATTTCCCCTCTGGCTTAGATTTTCAATATCCTTTTCTGTGCTGGCTTCGTCTCCTTTGCTTATGGATAGACTCCCCACACCACCGCCCTAGTTGAGAAGCAAATCACCAACACACTTACACACCTTTTCCCAGGCCCTGCTGACTTTCAGACCACCGTTCTCTTACTTTACTTGTTTGCTTTGCAGAATTTCTCCAAAAGCTGTTATGTCTTTTCTGCTTCCTTGTTTTTATAATTTGCTTATCTAATTCCTTTAGAATCTGGATTCTGTAACTTCTTTACCTACCAGACCACTAAGACATTTCTCTTAGGGCACAAATATAATTATAAAATATTGCAGCCAGAAATATATATGAGGTGTGGTATAACAAACACCCATTTGCCCAAACTTAAGAACTGATAGTACACAAGTATATCTGAAGCCCTCGGTCCCCATTCCAATTACACTGCAGCCACTGCCATCCCCGCTATCCAATACCTTACCCACATTCAAGCACTATTCTGATTTGAGTAGTTATCATTCCCATGCACTTTGTTTTACTTTTATAATTTACTACTACTTATTACTATACATGGTTTTACTCTACTCTAAATATAGCATTGTATTTTTAGAACATTTAAAACTCTGACCACCCTAGCTCTGTAAACTCTGACTTCTCTTGTTGTTCAGAACATTGGATCCTCATGATGCCCCTGTTAATACTGCTCCCCCAATACCTGTGGGTGTCCCCCTAGATGTTGCCCTTGGCCACCTTCTTGTACAACTGTCACTTCTCTGTAGATGGGTCCCAGATCTGATAACTCCAGTGTTAGTCTGCTTTCTTAACATTTCTATTTGCCTAGTCACTGACATGATCTGTTATTTTCCCAAACTAACTCACTATATAGATCCACAAACTAGCTCATTCCCATTTCTGTTTCCAGTGCTACTGTTCCACCACGCTCAGAATGTCACAATTTAGGTGTCATTGTTGACTCTTTGTTACTGTATCTTATCAGCCATTCTTGTCCCCTGGATTTTATCTCCACATTGTATTTTGTTCTTTTCCCCAGCCCTACTGCCTGTAGCCATTTTACTCAGATTATTATAATGGTTCCTAATTGTTGTCTTTGCTTCTGTCTTTTGACACTTCAGTCTTTCTGTTGCCACATAAATCTTAGAGTACAGTAATGATCATCTCATGCTGCAATTGAGAAGCTTTCAGCAGTTTTGGTTGTTGGTAGATAATAGGATAAATACTGGGTTGGCCAAAAAGTTCATTTGCCTTTTTCCATAAGATGGCTCTAGTAGCACTTAGTTGTCTCTAGCTGTCATTTTTTTAAAAAATCAAAATTGTCAAAATTGGTGAATTTTTATGTAGCCATTTTAATATGGAAGATGGAAGAAAATATGCAACATTTTGGTGTATTATGCTTTATTCTTTCAAGAAAAGTAAAAAACACAATTGAAATGTAAAAATAGATTTGTGCAGTGGATGGACAAGGTGCTGTTGACTGATCAAATGAGTCAAAAGTAGTTTGCAAAGTTTCGTGCTGGAGATTTCTTGCTGGCTGATGCTCGATGCTCCATGGTTGGATAGACTAAAGTTGATAGTGATCAAAGTGAGACATTAATTGAGAACAATCAGTGTTATACCACATCAGAGATAGCTGACATACTCAAAATATCCAAATCAATAAAGTTATTGGTGAAAATGAAAAAAGTGTCTTTTACTTTACAGAAAAAACATATGGACTTTTTGCCAACCCAATAGCAACTCTTTATTGTGGACTGTAGGGCTATTCTGAGTATGGTTCCTATTGGCCTGTCCATCCCTTTCATTCATCATTGCTCAACACTGATCCTATCTTATGTTCTAGTCAAATTGGATCAACTCTCTAGCAGTTGTACCACTTATTCAGTTTCAGTGCAAATGCTGCCGCAGCTTAGAAACTTTCTCTTAGAACACTGATTGGAAAGATTCTCAGTCATATAGGGTTCTGCTGCTGCTTTTCTTATTCTTTTCTTTACAGATTTTATTTATTCATTTTTAGACAGAGGAGAAGAGAAGGACAAAGAGAGGGAGAGAAATATCAGTGTGTGGTTGCCTCTTGAGCACCCCATGCTGGGGACCTGGCCCGCAACCCAGGCTTGTGCCCTGACTGGGACTTGAACCAGCAACCCTTTGTTTCGCAGCCTGTGCTCAATCCACTGAGCTACACCAGTCAGGGCTGCTTCTCTTTTCCCATTGTTTTATTAAGGTTGTTTTTGTACCTGGCTTTTATCTCCTGTACTAAATTGTAAAGTCTTAACTTTCTTATTCTCCCCACCCTCTTGTACCTGGCTAGTAGGGCTTTGATTAGTAATCCCTAACAATGGCTAAAACATGTTTAATTTAAAATCTCTCTCTTTATAAGAGGTAGAAGAAAAGGGAGCTAGAAACTGAGCTGGTGAGGGCAAAAGTGTATGCCTTATCAATTAGCAAATTATTCAGTTCCCAAATTACTCACTTTTTACTTTTATTCTATCCAGGCTTTGTTTGTTATATGGTTGACTACTGTCAGCCTTTGAGATTTAACTTTTAAAAAGGGTTTGGATGGTCAGAGTGTTTTATTTACAATTGCTTTAAAAAATATGTCTTGAACTTAGTGCCTCTAAGTAGTACTGTCTGGAGAGTACTTTCCTCCCCAGTCTCTCTATAGGCACACTCAATGCCTACTCCAAATTACCCACCCCCCAAATAGCCATAATTATAAATCAGAAGACAGGCTCAATGAGCCAGACTTGTGAGCACGTTTAAGGATCCTAAATTGTGAGGTTGGTGCTTTTCAAATTGAGGTATGGTGTTCATTTCCATTTAAGGCTCTTGGATACATTGCATTGCCTAGTTAAGGTATCACTCACCTAATTACATATTTTCTCCTGCCCACTTACTGTCTTTCACATTCATCCTCATTCTGTTAAACTCAGATATTTACATGATTCCTAACACTTCGTAGCTTTGAAAAACTTGTTGCCAGCGAGCAGTACATTTAATGACAGTTACTTGAATGAATTTTGATGTTAATAAAGTATCTGCCTTTTTCTGTCCCTTCTCTACCACTTTCATTTTTTCTTTTCCTTCACTTTTCTTTCTTAAACGTAGTTCTAAATTATTACCACTATTTTTAGTAGTATTACCATTAACAGTAGCAGTAGCAAACTTTTAGAACTGAAGTATAACATGCATATAGAAGAGTGCAAAAATCATATATGTATGCAGCTTGATGAATTTTTATAAAGCTATCATCTCCAGAACCACCAAGTAGATGGAGATACAGAATATCACCTGGACCACATAAGCTTCTTTGTGCCTCTTGCAGCAACTACCTGCCACTGGAGAAGATCATTACTATTCAGACCTAAGCCACCTGTTAATTCTTTACATTTTTAACTTGCTGTTAAAGAGCTTCTGGCGTGTTCTGGGATTCTTAATTTTGAAAACACTTTCCAGGTCCATTCAAATTTGCTTTGTTTAAACATTTCATTAAAAATATATGTATATAAAATAGTCTCTGTGGTTTCCTGAAGACTTTAAAACCAAGTATACTGGCATTATTACACTTTTTAAGTATATTTTTTAGGTCTGTGAATTTCATATAAGGGGGTTCCATCAACAGAGGGGCTTTTTGTGATAGTTCTAAAAGCAGCGTTGGATTTCTTGGGTGTCTGTGAATCTTCAATCTTTCTTCCCGGCAGTAATTTCAAGTATTATTGTGATTTCTCGGTCTGCAGACTTTAGAAGGAAGTAAATAAAGAAATTAATACTATGTTTACAACTTGCTGCTCTTCACGGTCATACAGATGTAACTCCCCATGTATGCTCCCCAGCATGTTTTTCATATTCATTTAAGGAAACACATCACTGGTTCTTTTCCTCTAGAAGATTTTCTCATAAAACATTGACTTTATGTTATGGTAGAAGAAGCCATTGTCACTCTTTTGTACCTGAGAGAAGACGAATAAAGTCACTTTTCTGTTTTTTAAAGGTTTTATGTATTCATTTTTATGAGAGAGAGGAAGAGAAGGACAAAAAGAGGGAGAGAAATATCAGTGTATGGTTGCCTCTCATGTGCCCCATACTAGGGACCTGGCCCGCAACCCAGGCTTGTGCCCTGACTGGGTTTCAAACTGGCAACCCTTTGTTTCATAGCCTGTGCTCAGTCCACTGAGCTACACCAGCCAGGGCTCTGTTTTTAAACCAGAACGGGGTAGGTAAAATGTTTGATCTTTTGGAGACTCCAGATTCATGTGGACCTTAGATGCTTTTGCATCTGCAGATGTCTTCATTATATGTATTCGTCATTTCTCTAACATTGTGTAAACTACTTCAGCTACCACACCCTACCCAAGTCTTTTTATTTTTTATTTTTCATAATGTATCAAGGGATTATGGCATTTGGAGATCCTTGATGTGTTTTCCTGAAACTGAGCCCCTGATTGGGCTGTCAGCAGATGCTCTATCACATTGACTGTCCCTGTTGGTACAGAGAGGTGTCAAACGGGCAGTTTCTCCCTTTTGCCATAGAAAGATGAAGTTTTAGGTAGTATTTGCTTATAGCGATGTTTGTGCCACTGTTTAAAAGTGATTTAAACTTGTATCCTGTTCATACCTTATTTTTGGAGGCCTGTTTTCCTCCCTTAGTTTGAGGTAACATAATGATGTTTTCAGTGCACAAGCCTTCTCCTTCAGTATAGGTGATCAATTTTGGGGAGGGGGTACAGTAGTTATTTTTACTTTTTGTCATGTGTTCTAATGTGGTATCCTTGTGAGTAAACACCAGAGCATTTTGCTTTGTCAAAAACAAACTAATGCAAAACCAAAGGTATGCATGCATGTCTTCTTGACAACTTGGACCTTGATCTTGTTCCCTAAAATTTTCAGGCTATTTTGGTTGACATTTCTATATGTAGAAATACCCCTAGCCCAGGCTGCCAGAGTCATCTGAATAAGGTATAGTTGTAAATGTGAAGTAACATGTACAATTTTAACACAGCTGCTCATAGAGGAGAGAGGGACCATTGATTAAGATTGGCAATCAGAGAGGACAGTATAACTTTTCGCCCCTTCATTTGAAAATTGAGATCCTTAACTGCATTTTGAATTAGTTCATCCATGAGCTGTTAATCTCATGGAGTTTTTGGAGAATAAGCAATAGAATAGATGTCTCCTGAGAGGAAGATTTATAGAAGAATACAGGTGCATAGTTCATTTCACTCACATACAAGTGAGCACCAGGTTAGATAGATTCAGTGGTTGGCATGCATGCATCATCTTTTCAGTCTGAATTAGAGTTGTCTATATTCAGATGAGCCCAAGGCATCTAATAAATTGAAACATGAATGGGAATTGTTAACTAAGAAAAGTTTTCCAGTTTTCTTAAAATTTAAATCCAGCTAGTCTAATACACAAGTTTTCTTCATGATTATCAGACTTCACTGCCATGGAACAAACCCTTGACTGTCAGAAGAGGGGTGCTTCATACCTTACAAAGGTGATAACAGACGGAAATTAGGAGCCAGTGGAGAGCGCAAGGATTTAGGTATAAATGATAAGGTTCTATGTGTGGAGATGTATCCATATCAGAACTCTATCTTAAGAGCTGCTTTGTAATCTTCCTTCCTTCCTTTTCCCCAAACCATGAAGGCACAGTACAGTTATATTTCATCTTTTTTGAGTGTTTTTTTGGGGTGAACTTTTCACTGTGTTCCCATCAAATTACATATGTGACTCAAGGGAAAACAGTTTAGGTTATGATATATTTATTAACAAGGGAAAAGCTCAGTTCGCATTGTTAGTTTTACTTTTTTTTACTCTCTTCTTTCTAGTGAGTCAAAAATACTCCCCCTTAACTTCATGTAGAGAACAAACTTTATACAATAAAGTAGGAATGGCAGATTTCACAAGGGAAAAAGTTGCTGTCAACTTTATTCCACAGCAACCTGGAAATTTGGGTGGATTATCTGTTCAGAGGAGGTTTCCTTTATTAATTCTTTTTCCTTTTCTTCACTTAAGACATCTGTTAATATTTCACACAGCCCAACAGATGTTGCAAAGCAAGTCCCATACTTTGTTCTCAAGAAAAATGACATTTCCTCAATTGGTTCACCCTACCTCTGTGACTGGGCCTAACCTGCTGCTTCTGCATAATTTGCATGTATTAAGTTATATACCTTAATGCCAGACAAAATTGTAGTTTCCATGTTATTTTTATACAGTGAAGTCTAATTTGATCATAAACTAGTTTACATGTAGCTTCCAAGTTAAAGTAGCTAAAAATTTTTTTAAAATCTCCTTTGAGAGTGACAACCTAATTCCACATTAGGATTAGAGAGCAAATTATCTTAAATTTTTCTATAAAATAAGTGAATTACAGAAGCTTGAGTTGTTTTGCCATTAGGAAGTGCTTGCTGGTTGTCATGCGATGTGGAGCATCACTTTTATTATTTTGGCAAGAACAGGGACAGTTTTGTCTTGACAAGCCATTAGATGAATACCAGCATGTGTCACATGAAAAACCACTGATCTTTAACCCAGCTCTGTACTTAACCAAGCTCTGAAAATGAATAGTGAATAAACGAAGAGCAAAGGCCAGTTTACTGTCATTACAGATTACAGAATCTGTTAACAGCTGCTGAACTGAACCCTGGGAATTATAGGTATTGTTCTGTGAGCTAGCAGAAGTCCTAGAGATGCTTGTTAAACTGTGTTATATAAATTATACATTTATTTAAATTTGCTTACGATTTACATGGTTACAAACATAGCTAGAAAAAGGTGAAAATTCTTGAGTACTCTCTCAGTGTATTGAATGCATGCCTTTATTACCAAACCCTTACATTTACAGACAACTGTCTCAATGAGGTTTCCCTGTCCACAGTTGTGGAATTTATTTTTAAAAAGCAATGTACTTTCAGAGAAATTAATAAGTATTAAGAAGAAAAGAAAAAGTATAGAGTATCTCCTCTTCCCTAAACAAAAGTAAAACCACAAACACGCAAAATCAAAATCCTTTGCTCATTTGTTTCTTCAGGTAAGTGTTCGTTGGGGCTGATATGTGAACCAACATCTGACTTTTTCTTTCTTTTTTTTTAATGGAGGAGAAAACCTAAACCCACCTCAATACCCAAATAATGAAAAGATCAGTAACATTTTAAACAGTTAGTTGTGGGAATTATGCTTACAGAGCTAACAAGAAAGAACACACTCACTTGCTCTGATGGTGGAATTGCATTGTGCCTCCCTATAGTCTTGTTATCCCACACTAACTGAAATGCAAATTCTTTGCTACTAATTGGATCTCATTGAGGGTACATGCACAGTATGTAGTTATATGCAAAAAGATTGAAAAAGATTAAATTTCTCTGTAATTAAAACTTTTAATTACTATCCAGAACATCAGAATCTATAGTATAGGTTTAGATTATACATGTATAATTTTTTTCCAGATTATTCAACATAAACTATGAAATGCTTAGTAAGGTATCAGCTCAAAAGTTAGGGGAAAATGTTTACTTACAGCAATCTATAAATTTGATTTTATTGAAATCTCATGAAAATACATTTTAAATGCTAAACATCATAAACATCAGAACTCACTTCCAAAATGTTTTTTTCCTTCAGTTGTCCAGTCTATTGTAACATTGTAAACTGCATGTGAGTTTCTTACTTTGTGGAAGTGTATTTCTGCTATGTGTTATGATGAGGTGGAGGTATTCACATTCCAATATTGTTTATAATAACTTGGGCACCATTTAGACCTAGTTGGTGTACTTCTTAATTTCTGTGGTACATCTCTCGCTATCAGTTAATGTGGAAGAGCTTGCCCGTGGCCTTTAATATTTGCAATTCTTTAACTTGAAATACATAAAATAAAAGCTGCAAAAAAGCAATGGAAGTGATACCTGCCTCCAGCCCCACCCCGGTTTTAAGTAACTTTAATACAAATGATTTCAGATAGTTGTTCCACAATCTTCAGACTACATAACCAGTGAACAAATTGAAAAAAATCATTTTTGTGCCTTGTAGTTATATTTTGTTGTCTCTTAGTGTAATACATCTTGTTGTCTTCGTAAACAAGTCATATAAACTAGTTAAAAATGTCTTTAATCAAATGCATTTAGAAGATGCAGTATACTATGATATATATTTGTTGTGAAAAAATATTTTGAATCTTAGAAAGACATCCTGGTGATTTTGAGGCTTTTGCCTTGACTGTAGTAGTATGAAGGTACTAGTTACATTGCAGACCTGTTTCATCTAGAACAACCTCAGACATTGATATCTGAAATAGTTCAGTTTGCCTGTGCTTGGTAGCATTTTGTCAGAAGACTGCTGGCCGAGCAGACTAGATTTGGATGTATTAGCTAGTCAGCCTAATAACCCTGTACAGACTGTATTGATTTTCTAGGAGAGAGTTTATGAACTAAATAAACTTGGGGTTGGTGTCTTAATAAACTGCTTCTCTGTCTGTCACATTTAGTTACGGAGCTATGCAGTTTAGGGGGAAAAAAGGCTAATTCTGTTACAGATTGTTCACAGCAGGGTCTCCAAATTAGCCCTTTGTTTTGTAATGCCACCTTGCTTGGGCTCGCTTTGAGCACATTTCTCAGTTTTGCCCTAATGAGTTGCAACACTGATAATGTGGCTGATGATCTTTCATTGATTTCACTATCACTTGCTTGTCTGGTAATTGATCCGTTGCTGAGCCTCTAGTTAATTATATCGGCTTTGACATGGCCCGGTCCACAGGGAATTTCAAGTCTTGCAGAATAACAGTTTTAATAAAAGAGTCTATTACTGCAGGTGCTTGCTGCTGCATGCCAGTTGATTTTTGTGTTGTTTGTGTGTGTGTGTGTGTGTGTGAGAGAGAGAGAGAGAGAGAGAGAGAGAGAGAAGATACGGATGGATGTTTGGGGGGGGTGGGGTGAGGATACCAGGGAAAGAAGAGGACTGCTGGACTGAGAGAAAGAAGAGGTGGGGGCTGGCAGAAGAGAAAGAGGGTGTGAAGGAGAGAGGAAGAAAGGAGGGGGGAACTAGGGAGAGCAAGAGGCAGGCGAGAGAGAACACGCAGGCAAAGCGATACAACAGCCTGAGAGGAGCGAGGAGGAAGCATGCTATTGACAGTGTCCTTAAGCCTCCCACAAATAACAGCCATTAGTGGGAAGGTCAGGAGCTGAGCAGGCAGCTTGACTGAGGCACTGAGTGCCACTTCAGAAATCAAGAGGCTAGCAAATTTTAGAGGGAGTTTAAGTGGGTAATAGCTAGCTGTAAAGGTACAGTCACTGTTGACAATTGACTCATAGGGTCTTTTCCTGCCCTCCCCCTTCAAGAATATTTTTATTGACCACAGGTGGACTTAATATATTTTAAGGCTACAGTTCTTTGGGTTCCTGTTTGCTTCTTCTAAGATATTGAATTTGCTGCTTTTGAGACTTTTTTGTGCTTAATGGTGGTGAACTGGAGGGAAGTTTAACAGAAAAGCTTTCAGGAGATGTCGGTTCTAGAGGGGAAGGCACATTTGTGTCAACATAGTGTACGTTTTCTCATCTTTTCTCATTGTCCACTAATGACACAGAGCTGCCATTGAAGCTCTTTTCTGTTTCTTTTGTTGTTTCAGAGAGTAAGGTTTATTGTTATTCTTCAGTTAAGAAGGAGCAAGGAGAGTGGTACATTTGTCCTCGATATTTGTAGGTGGTTGAAGATTAATGTTCCTTACATTTTAAGTTTAGGAAGGATGGCTTTTTCCTGCTGACTACTTTTATGAGATGACATGAATTTAGCTTTCCATTTTGAAGTTACTGTTTATGTACAGTGCATTTTGTTCAGTTCTGCTTTTCCATATATAAGGTGGATAAACACTACCTAATAAATAGTTGTTTTCTTTTAAAAACTGGTTTAATTAAAAATACGACACGCTATCAAGATTATATTTTTATCATGCAGGAAAACATCACAGAATTTTCCTTAGAGATCTTGAATAGAAAATGGAGTTTTTATATTCATTACTTTTTGCCTGAAATGAGACAGGCTTTTTTCCTTCATCTTTTTCTTTTTTATGATTTGAAAGGATATTGTAAATGCTTCATTCAGGAACTTTAACAAAGGACTTTTCTCCACTTTTGAGCTTTAAGAAAAGGTATACTTTTTTCCTTTGCCTTTCAATTTCTTACTACTTAACATCCAATTTAGTAATTAATGAATGACCTGAAGAACTGCATATTAAGTAGTATACATGCATGTACTTTGTAAATGTTTACTGTGCATCTTCTATGTTAAAAACTGCTAGGTTTATTTATTTACTTATTAGGGTGTGAAGTTATGTCCCTATGTGTATTATTTTCTCTGGGAATCTATATGTGGGTATAAAGAGCCTAGTACATACTATATGGCTTTTAGGAGTTAACATTTAGACAACTGAGCCAACTTTACATTCTCTTAAATCTGAATATTTTTCTTTCTTCCAATATAGCTTGAAAAAATGGCTATGTTTTAAGCATAGCAATTTACAAATGTTAAAAGTAAAGACTGATGTCAGATACTGCCTGTTATACCTGAAAGCATTGTTGGGAAAAATTCTCTGAGAAGGGCCCTAGCTTCTCCTCACCATATGTACTGTCCTTCTGTGATCATGGTGCTGCTTGGAGAGTGCAGAAGTGTGTATCTATGTGTGTGTCTGGAGAGGGGTTAGTGCAGGGTGTCATTTGGTGCCTGACAGTGGAACAGTGCAGTTGACTCTGAGCTCTGCTATCCAATGACACGCAGTGGCTGAGAGTTTGAAGCTGATGGTTGGGTCTCCAGTGCTGCCTGCACACCTGACAGGCAGCTGTTAAACTGAGCAAAGGCAAGCTCGGGGAGTCACAATCTATGCATAAATGATAGGGGTATCTGTGCAGAAGGTGCGAAAGCAGCTCTGACCCCCTCCCACCCCCAAATCTCCCCCTTCCCAAATGAAATGAACAGTTCAGCCAGCTTCTTAACTACACTACACTCCTGCTACTGGCTGCCAAGAGGCTCAAAAAATCCACCTTCACTTTTCAGTCAGAAGAGGCAGAAGTGGATGTGAGAGAAAGAGAGACACAGAGAGACAGAGAGCCAAAGAGGGCAAGAGACTTGACTTTAAGAGACTCCTGTACTGACAACTCCATGCAGTTCGGAACCAGAACGACTGCGGCTGAACCAGGGTTCATGGGGACATGGCAAAACGCTGATACTAACCTTTTATTCAGAATGTCCCAACAGGTAAGTTACTTTCTTTTCTTTTCTTTTTTTTTTAAAGAAATCTTGAATTGTTATGTGCACGTTTGTTTGTGCTGTTTTTCTTTCTTAACATTTAAAAAAATTTGATCACTTCATAGTTGGGCTCTGTTTTGTCATAACTGTGTTACTGGAATGTGCAGGGTTACTTCATGGTTTCCCTAAGGGCTCCTTAAAAGAAAAAGGGGAAAGGATACTGAAGTAAAAGAAAGCAAAGGCATTTGTTGCAAAGTTTTCACAGTACAACCTGGGTCATGAAAAGAGACTATTCATTTATTTGTTTTCTGTTAAATTTTTTTTAAAGCCACCACCCAACAACTGTATCTTTCCATCTATATTAATCACTTCCTCAAAGTGTCTGTCTCAGAGGAGGTTCTCCAACCAGTGATAAAATGTGGGGGCCCCTCCGCACAGCTTAACTGACTTCCTGGGGCTGGAAGCAGTGGACTCCGACCTGAGGACGGGAGGCTGTGCAGGAATCGCTGCCAGCGCCCATAGTCGCCGGAGGAGGAGGAGGCGACCGGCATAGAATAGAGGTCTGTGCCTACCGTCCCAGCTCCTCCGCCTGCTGGCCCGCCTGCCTCCACACTTGCCCCTGTGCTCCCTGCCGGCTCTGGCTCCAAACGCTCGCTCGCTCGCCCGCCCGCCCCGCGGGGCACTCACGCTCCGGAGCAGCCTCGGCGTCCTCCCCAGAGCCGCTCCTCCATCCCAGCCACGCTGGTGGCGGCAGGGTGTGCTGGGTGTGCTGGCTCTGCCGAGAAAGCCGAGGTGATCTGCGAGGCCAGCGGCTGCTGATAATTAATCACCGGAGCCGGCGGCTTGTACCGTGCGCTCGGTGATACGCGCCCGGCGCGCAAGGCTCCTCTTGCACAATTACTGGCTCTGCGGCTCTGAGGGGGAGCGAGGGTGAGAGGAAGCAAAGGGAAACAACCCAGAAACTTTCCTCTTGGACTGTGCTCAAGCGAGGGAGGGAAGTTCCCTGGTGCCTCCCTCCTAAACACGTCTTGATTTTCAAAAGCCTGCACCAAACTCACACAAAGCAAGAATTAGTATATTATCATCCACACAGCACGAAAGTATTACTGACAAATACTTGGATTTTAAGCAGATGACGTTAAGAAATGAATAGTTTCACTCATTTAAAAAAAAATACAACTGCTCTTTATAAAAACCCAGTTTTGTTTGTAGGCGTCCTTGGGAATTAAATATTTTATTGACTTAATTTAGATTTTTAAAGTATTGGTAATGAAGGGAAGAAAACAATTTGCTAGGCTGTAAACTACCACAAGTTTAGAAATACATCTGCAGAAGATTGTGCACGGAGCCAGGGTTTCGTAGCATTTAGCTAGAGAACAGTTTTATCGCACAATTCTAGGTAGGATAAATGCATTTGAATAAGGTGTATTTTGACATATCCTGTAGAGGGACCCTGATTACTGCTGATACAGTAAGCTGGGTTTAAATGCAATCAACATAGACCCAATAAGCAACTCTTTATGTGCAGTTTCCCATTCTTGCAAGTTAAGTTCATTTCCTCCCAGAGATAATTCCTTGTCATTGCAGTGTGCTTTGAGAGGTGTGTTTCTGAGGCATATCCCTGCCTGGGTGGCTCTGTTTCTGGTTGGAACACAGAGTGTGTTTTCATTGACCTTAGGATTAAATAGCTTGTGCCATACTTTAAAAATTAGATGTTACCTTCAGGGTTTTGTATGAGTTAGTGGAGGTCAGGGGTGTGTGTGTGTGTGTGTGTGTGTGTGTGTGTGTGTGTGTGTGTATTGGAAGGGAAGATTGGTTCAGGTCTCCCTCTAGCTAGAAAAGAGTTAATAAAACCAGATAGAGATAATGATCAATTGATAAATGGCTATTGAACCACAGAGATGGTGTTAGATTGCTTCTCTGGCACTAGCCCATTTTCAAGTAGATTTGAATCTAAGGAGACATTAAGTTGTGGAAAACATTTTAGCTAAAAAAAAAGAAAGAAAAGAAAATTATATAAATGATAGGTCAGAATTAGGAAAATAATTTGAAATTGCTCAGAGAGAGAAACTTGTACAACTAAGCTATTATGATGTCTTTGATGCAGCTATTTGACTCTGTGGGTATAAAAAGATCTATTTTATGTGTGCCTGTGTGTATGTATGTCTAATGGTGAGCTTCAGTGACTATATAAACAAGTAGAAATAGAGGGAAGTAATTTATGCATAATGGTGCTATATAAAACTATAATACTAATTATACTGTTTACTAAATAGTAGTACAATAAAGGGAGAAAAATCACAATTTAAAAAAGTGTTGTGATTCAACTATATTTTATTTTTGGTTTTGATGTAGTTAGCAACTCCCCCCTCTTTTTCTGTCATGGTTGCTAAATGTTTACCTCCTGTGCATTTTTGAAAAGCATGTAAAAGAAGTACGAGTCTACATGATTCTTTTTTTCCTCCTTCAGGATGACATTTTAGTTTGTATAACTATTGTGTAAACTTAAATTCAAACTATGTGTAAATCTAAAAATATATGTGCTGTGTATGTTTAATGTCTTTATTTTCCTTACCTATATTTCATCAGCAGTGCTGATTCAGAATGCGTGTGTATGTGTGTGTACAAGAAAGACACTTTTCTTAAAATTGGTTTTTCTTGAAGCCAATAGTTTTAAGAAATACTAGTTTCTATATAAACATTAATCCAGCTTTTGTCTTATTGCAGGTAAAAAGTTTGTTCAGTTTAATCAAGTATACAGAATTCTGTGTATCTCATTACTAAGGCATTAAAAGGCTTTTCTATTATTACTTTAATTTCTAAGAAACTGATTTAGCTCATGAAATAAATTTTATTTTGTATATTTTATCTCAAAATTTTCTGTAATAACATAAAAATATAAGATTGACATGATGATTTCATTAAATATTAGAGAAAACTGACTAGTAGGTTTTAAAACTGAGTTACAGAGAATTCACTACCAGTATTATTTAACTACAGCAAAACTTGTAGTGGGAAGTGTCTCATGAATACTGAAATTTAATAATCTAGGTTTGTGTCTTTTATAGGAAAATTAGAAAGTAGAGATATAAAAATCTTTGTTTTGTATGAGCAAAGTAGGATCTGCTTATATGTAAATCTTTCAGTTTGTCTAATACTAACAAAAAGGTACCACAATATGAAGCCAATTTAGATTTGGTGGAATTAAGTATGTTCTGCTAAAGTTAGGGATACAACAATTTCAGTGCATTTTTCTGTCTTTCTACATTTTTTCCCATATTCAGTTATGATCTTTTCAAAAGGGATAATTTTTTTCCATACAGACAAATATTTGATAACCTTAAAGGGCATGCCTCTTGACTTTTGTAAAGGGAGTTCTTATTTGGTTTACTTTGATCAGTGACAGGCCGAGAATGACCAGAAACCCTTTACTCATCTTCTCTGTTAATCTCCTAGAGTCCAGAACGTTATTTTGCCCATTTTAGCCTCATGAAGTTTTTGTTAAAAGCAAAAAATGAGGCCTGCTTTTGAACCTTTTTTTTTTTAAATCAGGTTTTTAAAGGTGATTTTTCTAAAATGTTTTGTGTATTTGAGAGACTGGTATATAAAATTCATAGGTACCTCAAGTAATGCAATAGTCTAATATATTTTGAAATCTTTTCAGAAATGAAACCATAACAGATAAACGGCTATAGCCCATGTTTTACACGTTTACATTACTAGAGGCATTTTCCTTTAATTATTGGTGAGGTATATTTAACCTTTTCAAATAAAATGCAGATTCCTTAATAAGGTCTCTTTTCAGACATGAGTGAAATACTAAGTTAGAATTATAAATGACTCTGCATCATTATGTAGTAATTTAGGATTCACCCAATGATGTAACACAATTAACAACATAATTTCATTGTGAAACTGTGTCTTATTAAAGAACACTGTCTGACATTCTCTTACAGTTGCTTTATTTAACTTCATGCAAATATTATTAGTAGTGACATTTTTCTATTGTGCATTAGATTCTCTCATTAGCATGATGTGTTAGTTATCACCAGAGAAATAATTTCCTAGATAGGTGAGGGGCAAAACAAGAAAGCTAAAAATTAAATCAATGATTTACATTAATGCCAGAGCATCTGCTCACCAGAGATATGACAAAGTAAAGGAAACTTTCTTACTAATATAAAATCTAGCACATATCAGAGAAATGATAAATAAAATATATTGTAAGAAATATATAATTACATTGCTAGAATCCATTTAAAAGCATGTTCAATATGAATTTTTCTCCCAGTAGTCTCTTAGTTCTTTCTATTTATATAGACAGAGTTTTATTTTGTTGAATCTATACTTTAAATTGGAAATGATTTTGTCTGACTTTTTACCCTTCTAAGTTATTTGAGTGTTTATTCACTAACAGCTTAAAAGGCACATATACCATTTTTCTTACAAGTCAGATGTCCAGTTGTATATTGTGGTTTGATTCTTTTTATAGTTCATACAATACATTTTTATTCTGAACTCTGTCCCACTCATGTAGACAAGCCTTTTAACATAGGATGTATATTCCTATTTAATCAGAGCCCTGAGTAAAACAATTGATAGTTAACGGTCTTTGAAAATGACTTTCATTGCCAGGCTTCATCCAAAGCTAGGTTTCTGCACTCTTTCCTCCTCCCTTTTTTTACCCCCTTTTTAATGATCATGTCTTACTAAAAAAAGGATTAAATTGACCAAACTTAAGGTCGTGTTGCTAAAATAAATATTTATATTGTATTAGGAGGCATGTAATTTCAGCCTGTTGAATTACTAGGCTGCTACCTCCTATTTAGTTCTCTTCTAATTTGAGTGTTAATAGCTTTTATTTTGAAGTTTTAAGTATAAGGCATATATTCAAATGTAATTCTTAACATCCGTTCTGATAATGTAACCCCAAAATAGGAGTATTTGGGTAATTGTTAAAATACAAGTTGTAGCATAGAGACAGGTGTTTGTAGAAGTCTGTGTATAGCATGCAGATTTCACTTACCAGACACTGTCTAATTTGTAATGCATTGGGGAAGTTGGCATGGAAAAATAGTCGTATCGATGGTATTTATGTAATGGTAATGCAAGTAACACATGCACCAACATATTCTCAGATATGTATGATGTATACGTTAAAAACTTGCCCCAAAATTTCAAGTTTATTTTCAACACACTATGTTAAGTGAGTTTGAACATAGTAGGTGGTCATTTTGAAATTATTTTCCTCATCTTTCTGCCATCTGCAAACTAGTACTGTGTTCGGATAATTTGTAAAGCCTTTTCCTGAGGTGAGTCAAGTAACCACAGTTAAAAAATAAATCCCTAAAGGTGCAGATATCTTATCTATAATTGCAGGTATTTTTTATAATTATATTTATGAGTGTATCTTAACATTCACTGATAAATCCAATTATTCATGCATGCCTTTATGAAAATCTGATTAATATAGTGACAGGACAGATTTGGGCTACTACAGCAGCACACACTCCCACTCCTGTGTCAGGGTTAAGAGCTGCAGCAAATCCTCCCTAACTAATTAGATGCTGAGTAAGGCATCTCTGAGAAGTTGGGGCAAAAGTGAATGGGTCACAGCCAAAGCAGGCTTGCAAGAACTCCAGTGATAGTGAAAGCATTCAAATTTGCCAGGTCGTTGTGACACGGGGAGCTGATTCCTAAGGAACAGACCGTTACAGATAGTGAGCTGGCGTTATCCTCTTTAATAAAAAACAAAAATTTTAGTACTTCTCCCTTCCCACCTTATATGCACTTAC